TTTGTCCAATGGACAGCGGTTAGCTATTGCAGAATTCTAAGCGGAGAAATAATGTGATCAGTGCTCCTGCAGGAAGTCTCTTCATTCCCAAACCAGGCACAGATTTTACTCTCAAACCCCCAACATAGGTGATGGGATGAGAGCAGGAGGCCTTTGTCCTGAGGGTTGCTTGAAGATGTCAGGATCGCTCCTCCTTCTCTCGCTTTTTATTTATTTATTTATTTATTTATTTATTTATTTATTATCCTCACTCAAGGACATTTTTCCATTTTTTGTTCAAATAAAGTGGGAAGGTGAGGGAGAGAGAGAGAGAGACTTCAACGTGAAAGGGAGACGTCGACTGGTTGCCACCCGCATGACCCAACCAGGGCCGGGGACAAACTGCAACCGACGAGGTACGTGCTCTTAGCGGGAACCGAACCCGGGTCTCTCTGGACCACAGGCTGACGCTCTAACCACTGAGAAAACCGGCCAGGACCCTCCTTTTCTCTTGCACGGCTGGGATGGGAGGGTGGGAGGAAGGGAGCTGAGACTGGGTTCAGGGTAGGTTGCCCTGTGGGCATGCGCAGGAACGGCCTCTGAACGATGGTGTCAACGATGAACCTGGAATGATGATCGACGGAGGCAGGTAAAGAAGGCAAGGAAGAGAGATCTGGTCAAGAGGGAGCAGAACAGGCAAACATTCAAAGGCACCTTACGAAAATAAAAGGAGGCTAGTGCAGCTACCACATGGTGTGCAGGGGTGAGGAGGCAGGAGGGATGGAAGACATGTATGTAACACAGTGCAATGCCGAGAGCTAGGTAATGAAGAACGTCTTATGCCAGGCAAGGGAGTTTGTGCTTTATCTCGAGGACAATGGGGAGCTGCTAAAGAGTTTAGATAGGGGTGGACATTGTAATCAGAGTTGCGTTTGAGAAGAATTACCCAGGAAGCATTGCAGAAGTTAGGAGGCCACAGCGCTAACCCAGACATCTGAAGACGGCTTGAATAAAGTAGAAGCAGTTGTGCCGGATAGAGAAATACTTAGGATCATAAATTGACAGGTCTTGGTGAGGAATTAAATTGGGGAGCTAAGGAAGAGAGGAGTCAAAAATGATAGGCTCTTGACTCTGCCCCGAATGGTTGCTGGAGCAATGGCTTGCACGAGATTGGCTTTCGTTAGCTCAAGGAGCCCGGAAGGAAACGTGAGAATACCAGAAAAGACCATGTGTGTCCTATTATACGTCTTTGTTGATGAAGCATTTGATGGGTGTTTGGATATTTGACCTGGAACTTGTGAGACAGAAATGAGTAGAGAATACGGGCATCTATTTGGGAGTCCTCGGCCCTGGATGGTAACTGGAGCCATGGGAGGGGGAGGGGACCCCCCCCCCGGACCCCCGCCCTGGGACCCATCCCCCTCCCCCCAAGGGTTTAAAGAGTGAGGAGAGGAACAAGGCCAGATCTCGGGGAGACTTCATATACCTAAGGGACAAGGAAAGGAAGAGAACCAGCTAGAGAGGAGGTAAGAAAACCAAAGAGTATAGTGTCCTGGAAACAAGGGAGAGAGAACAAGTGAGTAAGAAGTGGTCAAGTGGTGCAAAATGTGGAAGAGAATTCAAATATAATAAAAGCAGAAAATGGTCCCTTGGAGTTACCAACAAAGAGGGTATTGTTCCGCACAGCGGGACCAGTCTCAGGAGAATGGGGCAGGCAGAATGCACATTGCTTGTGGGTCAAAGTGTAAGGACCTGCAGAAAGTGCGGAGGCTTCTTTTCCAAGCCTTGCTCTTACTCCCGGAGAGGGCACGATATTTTTGTTAGACAGTGCATTCTGATTTTTGGTTTCAAAGTATGGTCACCATACTTCTGAGCAGCCCATGAAGCCACAGAATTACATGATTTATGGAGAGGGAGAGGAGAGTACAGATTCCAGAGGTGCTGTCTGTATTTAACACTGTAAGCAATAATGTCTGAGAAAACAGCTTCCCTGACTCTAAGATTTTTTTAAAGCTGGAAATTAATTTCCTGTGATGGGAAAGAAGAAGGAACTATTTATCGATCATCTATCATTTTATAGTGCTCAGGACTCTATATTTAATATTCATAGGAGCCTATAAGGTAAAAGTATTAGCTCTGATTGCAAAAAAAGTGAACTATATTTGGAAAGGTTTCGTGTACCTGGTACACGGCGAAGTCACTTTGTGATTGCTCAAGCTATATGTTCTTCGTCATGTGCAATGGGCCTAGGACTGCAAGAGTTTTTCCCTCTGAGACAAGATGTGTGAGCCTGGAGATCCCGACAGGGAGGGAGAATGATCCGCTTGGAACGGTCAGTGTGTGATTCCCGAGCTGGAAGAGGGCTTACCGCCATTTGAGAAGGAATTGATAAAACATACAAAATGAATCAAAGTCAGAACCCCAAAAAGGCATCATGCAAGGTTAAAATTATGTGAATAATGATGTGCATTTGTTATTTTAATGTTTTCCAAGTGCATTTCATTTTGAATGATATACTCAGATAGCACACATGGTAAGGTATAATTGAAAAAATGTGCAGGAGAATGGCTGCATTCAAAGAATAAACATCCAGCTGGGAGGGGGTTAGGAGTCAGGGGGTAAGCACATGCCCCAGCCCCCAGGGATCTCATTAGTTCATGAGTGACCATATATGTAGAGGCTAAATGAATCTCACTGTTTGCAAAGACCCGCAGTAAATGAGACAATGACGAATCAATAGTAATTAGGCCTATAGGTTCTTATTGACCCAGATGTCTGAACCTGAATGCCCTGCTCTGAGACTCCTTGAGAGGCGAATGAAAACACTTATAGACGTGGATTTCTTTTTTAAAAAATCCCTTTACTCTCAATGCAGTGATACTGTTCTGAAGAGGAATGTTGCTACAATTAGTGCAGACTCTTGATTTCTGGCTACAAAGGATGTTCTTGTGGCTTTGGTTGTCATCGTGGTTTCTGTGGGACCGGGGGCAGAGAGAGCTGGGAATAGAAAACCAGGATGTGATTATATTCCATCCAGATAGACGGCTCGGGCCCTACCTTCCGTGGAGGCCTGGAAGGACTCTTTCTTTGCTAACACTACCATGGAATCATGCCGGAACAGAGTCTGAACGTGGGGCTTTGACAAGTCGTTTCCGACCTGGAATACGGAGAACACGTGGCTTCAGGGTCCCGCAGAGAAGGGTTTAGGTTCAGTCTCGCGTCTGCACCTCTTTGCACGCCCGCTCCTTGCTTTCCTCACCGGGCGGTGGTGGAAGGCTGGGCACACTCGGGGGCTGCTGTTGATGGTGGTGTGGTTTGCCAACCATTGTCGTCCTCCTAATGTGATCTAAGGCCGTTTGTACAGACGGGAATGAGGTGTCACAGCAAAGCAGAAGAACCGCCCGGCAGGCAGGGCCGCCGTCCCTCCACTGAGGTGCGCCACGCGCACATCCCTCACGGAGACACAGAGCAGCTTCGCCTTCCGTCTCTTCCGTGCGGGGTGCCACTGAAAGTGTGTCGTTACTAAGAGGGTTTGGAAACCGCTGCTCTATCAGACAACTTTCAGGAACTTCATGGGATTCTTGGGAACACTCATTGTCACGAACTGGAACTGAACATCTCTGAGCTGTCCTCCTAAAACATTTTAAACATGTAAATCATAAATATCATCTAGTTATCTTAGATATCAACCACCCTTGGACACTGATTTCCTGTCCTTTTTTTTTATCCTCACCTGAGGACATCTTTCTATTTTTGTTCGGATAGAGTGAGGAGAGAGAAAGAAACATCGACATGAAAGGGACACATTGAGTGGCTGCCTCTCACATAACCCCAACCAGGGCCGGGGACAAATCACAACCGAGGTACGTGCCCTTGGCTGGAATCCAGCCTATGACTCGCTGGTCCATGGGCCGATGCTCTAACCGCTGAGCCAAACTGGCCAGGGCTCCTGTAGTTTTTTTCTGCCATTATTCAAGCCGTTTTCTACGTATCAAGTTACCGTTCCAAGGACTCCAGTGGGAAAGGACATGGATGCCAGTCTCTGATAAACCTACTTTCTTCTAGAGTTGTTGATTCAGGGCTTAGAGAAGGAAGCACCTTTAAAGAGGGGAAGGTACCAACTTTAGTCTTTGTGACATGCCATGGAATTGAACCCAGTGGGGTTAGGCATTGTTACACCGTTTGAATGTGTGGGAAAACTGAAGCTCTGGGAGGTTGTCACTGGCCCTGCTCCACAGCCAGGACACGGAGGACAGGAGCTGGAGCCAGGGCTGCCTTGACTCCCAAGCCCATCATCTCCGTCCCCTTCTCGCTGGACACGTAACGACTGATGCAGGCAGTCTGACTCCCTCATTGTATGCATGAAGAAACTGAGGCTTAAAAAGGAGAAAGGGCTAACATTTGGTGGGTTAAGGTGAGAAATCAAGTCGCCCAGTCCTGATCCTAACTGCATTTACTCCATCCTGTCTCTTCCCGTAGCAAATTCCCATCCCGAGTCTGGGAACGTATATTGGTCTCCATTTGTCATCTCACCATTATCATTGCAATTAGGAGCACTGATTTCAAAAAATCCTTTGCATATGTACAGTGTTGTACCGTTTACAAAATACTGTGTGTTCGCATACATAGTCTCTTTTGATCTTGACAATAACCCTATGAGGTAAGTTGGACAGGGAATACGTATCTGGTTTTATACATGCAAAGAAAGCGATTCCGAAAGTCTGAATAACTCTCTCGTGATTACACACCTACTGGGGGCAAGTCGTCCCTGGATCTGCCTTCTGATTCCAAACCTTTGCACTTTCCGCGGACACGTTCCACCTATGCTTGGTGATAGAGCAGTGATTTCCGAGTGCAGCAGGCTGGTTTACATCGGTTCCGGGTAGTTTCTTTGCTGAAGCTTTTGGGACTCGGCTTACTTTCTGGATCTGATGTGCAAGTACAAATGGTTTCTTTCTGCAGAACAATTTGCTCCCCGACCCTTACCCCCCTTCTAAAAACAAAATCTACTTCTCTTCCAGATGCCAGAGTGTATATGCATATTTGAACAGTCACCTGGATCTGATTAAGAAGGCTCAGCCTGTGGGTTTCCTCACTGTTGATTTACATGTTTGGCCAGATTTCCATGGCAACCGGTCTCCCTTAGCAGATCTGACACTCAAGGGCATGGTAAGTGACCTCCAGTCCTTGCACACAGGTAACGGCAGGCCAGAAGGCTACACAGTTTGGGAAAAGCAAAGTGGGGAGAAAGGAAAAGAGGAAACATAAACATAACAGCCCAAAAGCCCACTGACTGGCCTCTTGCGGATGCCTCCTGTTGGGGAGGCTCTGGCTGCTCCCCGGGATGACCTGCTGAAGTTCTCAACGTGGCAGAGCCACCTTCAGAGCTTTAAGGGGAGTACTTCTCACACCGAGCTGCCTCTGCCCCCGGAGTGCCTGGAAGTGGTGAGCCCCCGCCCGTGTGATGTTTGTATTTATATCGGTTTGAAGAGTTGTGTTTTCCATCCGCATCCCCAGGCCGCTGGGTAAGTGATAAATATCACCACCCATGGTCCTGCTGCACATCCGCCTCGGCTCTGTAGTCAGGGCTGTTCCGCGCCCAGGCTAATATTATTAGGATTTCAGAGGGAGCTGTGGCAGAAGTAAAATACAGTGAGTGACAGGTTGGTGGATAAATTCAGCCCTTAGTAACTTTTAGGGTCCCTTCCAGTGCAGAGATTCTGGGCCCTCCTGGAGGCGTCAGGATGGGCTTGGCTGGGGAGCTCAGAAGCACCTAAGCTCAGGTATAAGATCTTGGTGACCACGAGAGATTCGTGGCTGAGCGGAGTGTAGCCATCGAGAATCATGTTTGAGGATGGATGAAGCAGATGAAAGCTAGAGAAGTAGAGTTAAGCTTCAGTTCCAAGAGGCAAGGAGAGGTCACAAATAAAATAAGCCATGGATTCAGAATCCAGGAAGATGTCAAAAAACTGAAAAGCAGGGTGTCAGGCAAGTGAAGGCGGGAGTTCAGGGCGGGGCTGTGAGCGGTGCCTGGCTTGTGCACTGCATGGCCTGCTGGCTCGGTGAAGTTCAAGACCCAGAATTCTGTGGTTTGCAGTGAATTTCACTGAGAGTGTTTGAATCATTTCATGATGCCAAAAGGAAGACCTGATCTTTATCTTCGTTACCTTGTTGACATAATCAACTTCTGCTAATAAAAGGGAGTCAAGGTGAAAAGCAAAGGAAGTTGGATGGCAAGGGTTACGTCTGTCTGGAGTCCATGAAATGTGCCCGCTAAACAAAGAATGAGCTTGGCCTCCTTATTTGGCCTGTGGAAGCAGAAGGGGGGTGTCCGAGAGGGTCATGTGGACCCAGGCTGCAGCTGGAAAGCTGTGTTTTCACATAACTCCCTGTCTGGGTGCCAACAGAAGCTAAGGAAAGAACATATTTTATATGGGTACAAAAATGAATGTCTTAATTAAAGACAAATATCTGAAGCCAAATGTATCAGACCCTTAAAATGCTAGAGAAGTTAAGATGTGACCAGTTCATAAAAGGACCCCAAAGCATAGCAGGGTTGTCTAGTAAAATGGTCCTGGATGTGGAGTCCTTCCCTTGGGGTCCTTCCCCTGCCAACATCTGTGTAGCCAATTTCAACACCCCAATTTCAACACCCAGCACAGCAGGTGCCATGGCTCCCAGTGGCTTTTGTCTATTTCTTAAAGCCAAGTATGCCATCCAAAGACTTAGAATTATCATCATAAGGATATTGTAATGAAGGTAGCTCAAATGCAGAATTCAAAGGACTCAGTGGCATATTTTGAAGAATGCCTTCCTTATTAGGGTAAGTGCTTATTTTTACCAAAGGCTATTTCTTACATGGGGAAATGTGCCCAATTATATAGAAAATAAAACAACCCTGATACGTTTACTTTTTTAAAAAGATTTTGTTTTATAAATATTCTTCACATATCACCTGATATTTCTCAACGGTGCTCTCCTTTCATAACTGCCCTTGTGTTTGGCTTACGTTTGAATAGCTGTCCCTCTATGAATTGACATCACAACACAGGAAAGTGACCTAGATAAGATAGAAAGAAGAAAATTCTGGGCTGAAAAAGCTCCCCCCCCCCCCATTTCTCTCTCAATCCAGTTTTGGATAACATCAAAACACCCTGAAACCCGTCCTGTGTCACGTTACCCTGTTGTCAGAACCTGCAATGACTTCTGTCTCTAGCACTTACTCAATAATATTTGTTTGGTACCTACTATGTGCCAAGCAGTGCTGTGGGTACTGTAAGGTGCAGCAGTTCCCACAGTCACTCAGGGTGTTTTGAGGGAGGGAAGGGGAGAGCTGGGTAAAATGTGTACAGAGCAACTAGAATCGTCAAGATAATCCCTGTAGGGCAAGAACCATGTGTTTTCTCTGTTGGCTCCGGAAACATTTCCCTGGGCACATACTAAGTATTTAACATGTACTTATTGAAAATTGATAGTCAACATAGAAATAGCAAAGACATCATTTATTTCTTTAGAAAAATATACATAGGAACAGTTCACGAGTAATAAGTGGATTAGTTGCTGCTCTTATTATGATATGATAGTATTTAATACCAGTGTTAATGCCCAAGGAAATTAAGAGAAGAGGCTCTCATTTTTGTCATATTAGGAGCACTTTTGTTCGTCAGTTCATTAATTATTTTGGCCAACACAGGCCCTGTTAGTGGTGGTGGGGGATATGAGAGTGTGTAGCCATAATTCCAGCCCTGGGGAATATGACTGTCTTAGGGGCAGACAGTATATCACCGGGCAATGGATTCTGCGTCAAGCTCCAGGTGCCACTCAGGGTGCAGGGCTCCCGAGATGCATAGAGGATCATTGCCCAGCCTGGTCTCAGTAGCTAGAAAGGCTTCAGATAGGCGGTGACATTGACGCTGAGTACAGTGGGGAGGAGGGTCTGGGCCCAGGAAAGTCACAGTGCATGCAGTGTTCTGGAGGGGAGGGGAGAGAATGGCATGTGACTTCTAAGATTTGGGCTCCTTGTATCACTGTCTTACCTCTGATAGGTTGCATTTTGCATTTTATCTCGGTAATAAAAAAGCAGAGGTTTTCTCCAGAAACCACTGGGCACTCCCTCTGTTCCCTCTGCTTCAGCAGCATCACACTCTCCCAGTTCTTTACACTCACCTCGATGACCTTCATTCCTTCATCCATTCCTTCATCCATTCCGTGCTCATCGATCACCTACTATGAACGCACAGGAAAAAAGAAGGTGCCTGTCCTAAGTTCACATGAGAGTGGGGAGGAGGATGCTTGTGCGTGCCTGTGTACACATTCATCATACAATGTGATCCTTGTAACACAGACATCTTGCAAGCTGAAGAAGATGCTCAGCAAACATCTGACTTTAAATTTTTTTTTAAAGTGGCATTTGGCCAGCAAGCCTCATGCAACCTTTCTCTGCTTCACTTGAAAATAACTGGGAAGATGAAAAAAAAAAAAACAACATAAAAAATGACACTGATGTTGACAACAAAGATGACATTCAAGTCAGAAAACTACAAAAGACATTCTCAGAGAGAATCTGGGAAGATTTTCCAGAATCTAAAAGAGTAAATGTAGCTTGTTTGATAAACATCATATATGGCATGTGAACAAATACACCAGCAGCCTCACAGGCGTTTGGACCTCTCCACCTCCTGCTCCCTAGCTTAAAAGCGCAAGGCCCCTTTAAGGCTGAATGCGGGGCCGTCCCCTCGCTACTCTGCTGCTGTGGTTAGGGTTTCTTGTTTTGCTTTGTTTTTTGGAAACAGCAGTGAGTTTAATTTCCCAGAACTCTTCCACAACCCACGTCTTATCTTCCCCTTTGGTTCAGCCCGTTAGGAAACTGCCAACCCCAGAAGCCAACAGGGCGGGAAGTCTGACTGCGGGTCAGTGGGGATGCACCGCGTCCCGAGGACCCCGGGGCACTGCTGATGGCAGGGACAGGAGAACCCTGTGAATGCGGAGGCGGGGTGGTTCCATGCGTCTGCTCTGTCCTAAGGTTGGAAAGCCAGGCGGTAGTAACCACCCTCGCCAGCACACCTCCACAAAGTCAAAACTGCCGCCTCTGGAGTTGGCACCCAGCCGCAGAGCCCGAAGAGCCGAAGCCAGGCTGCAGTGAGGGGCCGGGAGTAAATAACGTGACCAATTCTGGGAAACACTGAATATGGATAGCTCTAGTTAGAACGCATGAAAACCGGAATACAGTGAATCCATTAGGGAAAACCTGTTGCATACCAAGAAAAAGAAATACCGTTTTGAACACTTAAGGAAAGGCCTCTGAAAATTATTTACTACTGAAACCAAAAGAAAACATAAAAAAAACTCGTTGCGCCCTGGCCGCTTGGAGCGTCGGCCTGCGGACCAGAGAGTCCTGGGATCAGTTCCCGCTAGGGGGCACGTACCAAAAAAAAACACAAAAAACAAAACTCCTTGGCATATTCAATAGGATTTTTTTAAGGCACATCTCTATGATATAGGACAGAAACATACTAGGAAGAAAATGAGTTCAGATGAAAAGTTAGTGGAATAAGAAGAAAGAGGAAATGATAAAGACCCAAAAATACAAAAGCAGAATGAAAACCTGCATTGAAGGCAATAAAAATCATAGTTTTTACTGAAGAAAATAACATCACAGGTGTCATAAAATGTAGCACATAGCCCGGCCAGTGTGGCTCAGTGATTGAGCATCGACCCCTGCACCAAGAGGCCGCAGGTTTGATTCCCAGTCAGGGCACATGCACAAACTGTGGGCATGATCCCCAGTGGGAGGCATGCAGGGGGCGGCCAATTGATACTCTCATTGATGTTTCTGTCTCTCTTTCCCTCTCCCTTCCTCTTTCTCTAAAATCAATAAAGAAAAAAAAATTTTAAAGATGTAGCATATATTTAATTTTTCTTTATTTTTTTATTGCCATTTATCCCCCCATATCCTCTTCCACCCCCACCCACCCTTATATATTTGAAACTTATGAGAAAAATAATTTGAAGGTAGGGACTGTGGCTTCTTTACTTTTTAAATTTCAACAGTGTCTGGGTCAGAGACAGGCACTGAATAATTGCCTGTGGTTAAGCAATTATTTTAATCTTTATTTGCCACGTGAGGAATGAAAAGTGACTTGCCCAAGGTCCCCGTGCCAGGAAACGGC